TTATTTTTTTTAAGTAAATTGTTATGTTGTGCTTGATTAAAAGCTCGTTACCTATCCAATATAAAGGTAATAGATAAACCCTTCACAATATATATATGCGTTCATTCTGAAATATCTATAATTCATTTTTATTTGAGTACAGTGCTTTCTGAAAGTCTATGGAGTACATAGTAGAATGCCATATAGTGACCAGATTCTGTTCCTAATAATATTGTACTAAAGTGATTATCATCGTTTGGTCAAAATATATTAATTGTTGTGTGGATGTGTCCCATAAACGTATATCGTTTGTTGTAAAATAAAAATATAGAGTTGAGAAATACCAATAATATTCTTTAGAGATATCGATAGTAAATATTTTAAATATGGGATTATTATACATTATGTAATACGATGAACTGTGCAAAATGCAAATATGTTTACGCGTTCAGGGGTCTATTATACGTATGTCGTTTATCAATAATATTTTATTACTCTGGATAAACTTATTTTACTACAGTATATTATTCATTTGTTTTTAGTATAAATATATAATAATTGTAATACAAATACATAAAAATTAATAATTTATCTCGCTCATATTGAGTGTTATTTAATATATGATACTGATATTATATTCGCAAGACATTATCATCGCGAGCGAGTTCAATATTCGAAATTTAAACTGTACATGCGTATTACACGATTCAATTTATATATTAATTAACATATGTACATGTAAATTGAGTCATCTTACAACTCATATGATCACGTCATAATTATGTATTCTATGTTTTTATTACAGCTTAGAAATATTTTATATTAAATATATATATAGGTGTGTACATAGGTTGAACTATAAATAATTGAATTTAACCTATATTTTAGTTTTTTTTTTCTTAAGTTATAATAATATAACAAATTTGGGGCAACCAATCACGTCCGAACACAAATACGATACGATTAAGAGAAATAATCAAAAATTTAGTACTTCTTATAACAACATTTTATTGAATTTTATTGAGAAACCGCTCTTTTGTATAGTTAATGTCGAGTAGGTAGATGTGGATAGTTATATTTGAATTAAACGATATAAAATGGTATACAAAAATAATTCTGAGTGAAAATCGTCTGTCAACCAATATCTAAGCATATTTCATGTTAAATTGTTTAATATCTCTATTAGGTGAAATAATTTATTTTACCAATAGTAATACAGAAGTTCAAATATTTTTTCCCGAAAACATTGCATTTGAAAATATCATTAAGTGTATGAATATAATAATAAACATGAAAATTATATGCCTCATAAATAATGTTCTTGAACTATAATCAAATAATGAACATCATTATTCATAATTTTAATAGGTAATCACGTCCAAATTTTAACTTAAAATGTCTATAAAACAAAATTATTATCATATAATTTTAGATTTTTTAATGTCTGCATTGTGAACTACTTATAAGGATTTTTGTTTATAATTTTCAAGCCATTATGTGTTTTACAAATTTTCAACTTTAGAACAGTTTACGATTTTGATAACTTTGAAGAATTTGATCAAAATTTGATCTTTAAATAAATTAAGCCAATGTATTATACAATTTTTACCTATCTGTCAAAAAAACTTATTTGGTATCTTATATGAATATTTCAATCATATTAATCCAGTTAATTTTTTTTTATCGACATTTAGGTATATGAAAAAAAACTAAAATAATTGGAAAATTTCAAATATCTATAAATAACTTAAATAGAAAAAATGCTTAGACAATTTTATCATAAAGAGATATAAATATTTTGTAAAAACTCCAAGTATTTACAATCAAAGATTGTCAAAGCTAAATAATTAATCATTAATTTTTGGAGAAGCGATGTTGACAGTAAACTCAGAAACTCCAAAAGCGATTACATTAAATTATATTTTGAAACGTACTATGTATTACTGAAATTTCACCGAAGAAAAGTCATTAGATTTAATTGATTGTGATTCGAGGAGATCAACTTTTGTAAGTTGTACGTAGAACAGAAATGTCAGCTCGAAAAAATCCATCTTCAGTAATAGTATATGTCACTAGGGAAATTAAGCCCGAAATACTATTTTAAAGTTCCTTAAACTGCAACGACTAGGAAATTAAAAGTGATTTAATGGCTTTCATAATACCCTCATTAGAAAAAGTTTTGAATGTCTGCGATTGCGTATTAACAACCATAGTAATAGGTATCGAAGAAATAATAATGAGGTGCAATTAGGTAATTGGATTAAATACATAATATATAATGTAACTCCTTCAATGTGGATAATACAATACAAAATGCATCAATAAGATAGTTTACATATCTTGGTTACTAAGCACGCAGAGTAAATGGCGAGTTTCTGCAAACGCGGTGTATCCGCCGTATTCAGAATGAGTCGTATTTTCGGTGGTCGTTTGGACAAAGGTAATGATTTTGACCAAAAAAATAATAGTCCGTTTGGGTGACTATCATTTGAACCGTTTGAGCGAGTGAAATTATTTTTTGACTGTAGATTACTATCTACCTGTAGAATAATATTATTCATATCTATGCTGCCAATTTTTTTTTTTTTTTTTAAATAGGACTTATTATTAATTATTTATATTTTATATGATTTTATTTAATTAACTGTTAAGTGTATAATTTATATAATAAGCATTTTCATACCACCTTAACAGTATTTTTAATTGAATAATCCTCGCTTAAACAGTAAATATCTATTCACCCAAATGGTATTTTTAGTTTAATAAACCCTCGCCCAAATAGACCATATTTTGAGCCGATTCACTCAAACTGTCTACGCCTCATCGTATCGCCCGGGTTAAGATAATTACCGGACGACAAAAGATAGCACATTCGATTGTTAATCATTGAGCATACAAGTATACAAAATTAACTCATATCATACAGTGGCTACGTATTTGGATAGAGAACACTAAAAATTGCCCTTTAGAAAAAATTTTAGGCAGATCTACTAGAAAACGACACCGTCTACACACGCACTTTTTAGAAAACAGTTCAAACGAAAGCATAAAAAACAATTAACAAATCAATTACAACCAAAATAAGAAATAATAGATGTAATAAATTTGAATTCAATATCATTATATACGAAAAACGATTCTGAGCGGAGACCGTCTAACGTAGCTGATTATATCACTAAGTATATTTTATGACATATTTCTTGATATTGCTATACACAATAATTTATTTTAATATAAATATAACGGTAGGTTGATTTAGTTTTTGCCAAAATATTGCACTTATCATATTATTTATTATAATAATTTATATTTATACCATATAAAATTATTCTTATTAGCATTTAAAACAACACTGCATCTTACCATAAAACAATGTGAATAGGTTCATCTACATGTTATAATAAATAAGTAACATTATGAAATTAATCTATCCGTTTTGAAAATTACATTGTATGTAGTAAAATATAAAGGTATGTAGTAAAATATAAAGGTACGTAAAAACTGTAAGTTTCTCCCTCCCAGGAATAATGTTATTGAATTATAACAAAATAATTAAAATCGTTTTACAAAGTTTAAATATTATCATCCAAATTTTCAAATTTAAATGACTAAAAAAAATGTTGCATATAAATGTATTCAATTTTCTGGTTTCATTATTAAATACTTATGAGGAATTTTGTAATATATTTATAATAACTTTATAATTATGAAAATTGAAAATTTTATAAATGTTTAACTGCAAGACAATTTGTAAATGTTTACGATTTTGGCAAATTTTGTTAATAATTGAACTTTAAAAGCCTATGAAAAAAAAATAATGTGCATATATTTTAGATATTTATATTTAACTTTAAGAAAAATGTACGCAGAATTTCGTAAGTATTGAATTTTCAAGTTTTTTGACCAAGAAAACATTTTTTATCGATATTTATATGTATAAAAAAATTTTTAAAAAAATAGGAAATTTCAAGTGTTTATAAATACCTTTAAAAAGAATTAAAACATTTAGAAAATTGTATTATGTGGTAGACAATTTTAATGCAAAGACTTAGTAAAAATTTCAAGTATTCGGCCATCAGTTTTTAAGAAATAGATTTTATCAAAAATTAGTTTCACATAAAATTTACCTTTTTCCTTAATATTGACTATTTGCTTTTTCTGATTATTTTTGCTAAAACTGGAAATTTTTAATTTTGACTTCTTCAAAGTATAAACTAAATCCAATTTACTATTAAACACTCGACGTTGTAAATTTAAGCACTTTTTCAATTACTTATCGTGTATATACAAAGTATGAAGGTAATAGGTATATATATATTATATTATATAAACACTTAAGCACACACCATTGTAAAATCGATACATTCATCGCTCCGCTCAGAACTTAAAATGTATTAAGTTATTGTTCTTAACTAATTATTTAAAAGCTAACTATTTTTTTCTAACGTAAAGAAAAATATTTTATTGTTTTAGTGATGTTTTATTGTATTTACTACACTAGAATTTTCAATATAACATTAAGTACATAAAATAATAATACATGGAAGAAATAAATTTTTATGGAGGTAGAAATATTCCATTTATAACAGTTTTTTTTTTCAATAGACAATACTTTGTCTGTAAACTTAAATATTTTTCTTTAAAATTAATAAACACTAAAATGTACAATTCATGCTCCTGTTTAAGGTCCCCCTGTTTTTTGATATATCATGTCTAGACAATGCTAATAGAATATTCAGTGAGCATTTCAAATCTCTACGTTTATTTTTGTACTATTAGGTACTACAAAAAATAAACTTGATTTTCCCAAACTGGTTTTGCTTAAATATAACAATTAGTCGATATTTTTTGTTTAATTTTAAAAGTACTAAAAACATTTTTTTACTTTCAACCACCTCAAAGTACCTATAATACTTATTTTTTTCTTATATTTTAAGAGATTATTCATAGGCATATATTTAAAATATAAGTTAATTTTTATAATTATTCAATATTTTTTTTTAACATAATTCTTTTTTCAGAAATCTGTTATAAACACAAATGAACAATAAGCCTAATTAATAACATATATATATTAAATAGTCATTGGAATGACGGAGTGAAGAGATCTCCCATTATACTTCGATGAGAAAAATATTCAATATTTTAATTACATTTTATTGTATTAAAAATAAAAAGTATCAGGTTAGTATTACTTATTAATTATTACTACTATTTTTATTTAGTATTTGTATTTATCAAGTAGGTATTAAACTATATTATAATATTGTGTATTTCAACATTTTTATGTCACAATGTTTAATAACAATACACTCAACTTTGGTTTTCATTAATCATATAATAATAATTATATTCAATTACAACTGCATTATAATATATATACATAGTGATTCCAATTCCAATTTAATTATTTAAAGCTAATTTTTCACGGGCTTCTTTTCCGAATACCGTAAAACAATGCTGTATAAGCGTACAAAGCGTATCGTTCCTATAATCATCCATTATGTTGTAAAAATGAATATTTATAGGTAGACTTGAATACTTGATCGTTCCGCTCAGTATTATACGAATCTAAGCAAGAGTGTAATTAAATAAATAACTTATCGATTGTACTGATGTATCTAATGAGTTTTTTTTTTTTAGAATCGGTACTTTATTGCAACCGTACCAATTGGAACAATTCCATAAAAAGGAATGAAAATTCCCACCACTAATTGCAACTAGTCAGCAACCAAAATTCGTCTTTTTTTAAGTATTCCTACCATACTACCTACCTACTAGTACTTGGATTCGGTTGATGTGTGGTAGGAAAAATGTGATTACGAGACGGCGGTGCTGATTCATTTGGGTGTACGAACGAAAATTGTAGTCTCACGTGAGGCGGAGTACGTCTTTTTTTAAGCTACGCGTAATGAAGCCAAAACGCCATATCAGTTAGGTATTACATATTACATATTTTCTCTTTACACAGACGACTCGTGAAATAATACTTCTGACCTTGGGTAAAATAAATATCGTTCACTGTTAGAAATCTGAATAGGTAATTTATTATCTAAATCTGTAATGGTAGAACCGCGGTAAAAATAAAAAAATTAAAAATGATTTTATCGTGACGGAAACACTGATAAACACCATTTCACTCTCATAATATCATCTTAATACTATACCCTTCCCTTATACGATAAATATGTCGTAACCAAAATATTATTACGTGTAATATCGAATAAGTACGTAGTGCATACAAGTATAAACTCGAGTACCTATTTGAACAGTGTGTACATTGTATGCTACGATATACAAATCACAATTTTTTTTTTCGAACGATTAGATTCATAGTAATAATCATTACAACATTAATGGCGAATACCGATGTACAATAATTCTATCATAAATATTTTTAGATTTTCGTTATTACTTATTATGCAATTGGTAATGTAACATTGTACGAATAGACCACCGGTTGACCGTAATCACCTTGCCCTAGTTCTCGTCGCAGCCATTTTCTCCGTTATCATACGGGTCGACTCGTGTGATAACATCGGCTGTTTTCGCAGTCCGCATCAAACAGCCAATGGCGTCGAAGTCAACAGACATCCCACCGCTTTTCCTTACATTATCTTCATACTGTCATACTCTAATCTCTGAATTCAGCCTATTAAGTATTTTCAATATTTTCATTAGTCGTTCTGTAGTTCGGTTCGCCGTGTTGTCGCGCATTGCGCAATAGTAATTTATTTATTTATTTTTTTTTTTTTTTACATATTATTTTGTTAGTTATTTTACCATAGCGCTGCCCTTTGGGTCGCCTATAAACTGTAAGCATAGTAAATTTAATTAACCTGTAGTAATTTAACGCCGTATTAGTTTAATACCTCCAGTATAATTGTGCAATTTAATCTAGCCCAAGGATTGTATTACCTGTGTTAACAAACACACTTAGGTAACCTGATTCAAATTTGATATTATTTGTTTTATAAACGATATTTCCACTTTTACATTTACAGTAAGTACACAACTTTTATATGATGTATAATATATTATAGGCACATTGTCGAATCAGGCATTTAGCTAAATGCCTAAGCAAATAGTTAAAAAATTTAATTCTTATGCAATTTTACTATCTGCTTAGTCATTACAACTAAATATCTATTTCAAATCCAGCAAATAATAAAAATTACACATTTTGTATAATTTTAAAAATTGAACTGTATTTTATTATTAAATATTCGATGCTATTCTACACAAAAAAGAACTACCTATGTCTTATTTAATATTTAAATAAATACAGGTAACTATTAGTTAAGTGTGATAGTGTGTGTACTTTATATTATTATAAAATAATAATAAAAGTTCTATTAGATTTTACCTTAGAAAATTAATATAAATACATTATCAAAAAAACAAGAAAACCTTATCCATTTATTGAGTACTGTAAGACAAATAAAATTATAATCTTATCGATTATAACGACAAAATGTGTCATTTTTATTATTTACCTGACTTGAAATAAGCATTTAATAAAATGCCTGATTTGACTATATGTACTGCATCCATACTATTAAGTGTGTCCAAACAATTTCACAGATCTGATCAAAAGTATTTTTTATACAATCAGTAGCCAAAAATTATTTAAAAGTTAATTTTGAATTAATTCAAATTCATTAGACTAGTCATTGCCCAGTTTGGCATATGACAATAGTATGTATGACAATATATTTATGAGTACAGTTCAATATTGCTATATATCTTAAGTAGTATCATAATTATTTTTCCTTTAATAGTAGTATTAATTTCAGATATTTGTGAAATCAATTATTTGCTACATCACAGCTGTTAAAATGGGTATAACCAAGAGGCCTGCTAGCAATTGCAGTGATGAAATACTTCCGGTTGATATTGATGATCTGTAAGTATCTATTACTAATAGAAACTTTAGTTTACTGTAGTTAACTATAGCTACTGTAGTTTCATTCCAGTATCCACTTGCAGTTCAAAACTGATATATGTCTTAAAAGTATTTTAACACTATAAAACAACATTGTTAAATTAGACTCAGACTCATTGAGTTTCATGTTACTGTGACTATAATGATTGTTACTATTTATTCATTTTCATTTTCTAATTTTTAGTTCATATTAATATTGGGTAGTATTTTAAACCATAAAATAAAAATTATTAAACATAACCTTCTAATATTTACTAAACCTGCAATAAATTTTTTAATAACATTTAAAACATCTTATTTCATCATCAATTACTATTTTTATACTTAATAAAACATCTTTAAAAACTAAAAAAAAAATTATTGGAAATAAAATAAAAGTTATTCTTATTATGGTAATCATACTATACAATAGTATTATTACTATAATGGAGTTGTTATATGTTATTTCCAACAGATTTCCTTAATTTTTACAGGTGATTTATCACATTATTTAAGTATAGAAATTGTAGTTAATGATTAATACAAGATATTTTAAATTTTATGAAAGAATTTATTGCAAATTTAGTAAGCATTACAAGGTAATTCAACATACATTGAGATGTAAATATTTTTAATCCGTATATCAATTAATCAACATTATTTGATTTAATTATTAGTTATTACCAGGGCTCGAGACTTAAAGCATTTGCCTATTTTTATGGATTGACTTAAAATGTAGCAGACTGCTATGAAAGTGTTTATCATATTACAACATGTTCAATTATGAAATTTGAAAGTGCTTTTTTTAACAATTTTTCAAAAAAATGCTTATTTCCAGTTTTTCTGTTTATTTTTGCTTTTTTTATGAGTTTTTCTACTTATCATGTGTTTTTATGCAATGTTATTTATGCATTTATGATAGATTTTAGATAAAAAATAATTTTTATTTTATCTATGTTATCGCATAGTCCGTCGTTGTCGGCGGCATCATTGCAGGGTTATCAAAAATATTCCAACGCTCAAAATAGAACTGGATATAATTGAGTTCATGTTTATTATGATGGGAAAGTGGTTATTTTCATTTTATTTCTTGTCAAAATGTTTATAATGTTAATATTGTCATTTGTCGTCGTCGTTGGTCCGAATCGTCAGTCAACGCACGCCGATAATGTACACAAAATAATATAATAAAAATTAGATCAAATTTTGAAAATATTAAAAATAGATTGTAAACACAGAATAATAATATAATAATCTCGTGAATTACAGGCGTGATAAATACAAATGTTTTGATATCTGAGTTTAGTAGTCAGTTATCAATCACGTTCATTTTGTTTCAATAAATTTTTTTTTTTTATTAAATATTTTGTTCAAATTTAAGTTTTTTAAATGCTTAATTGAGTGCTTATAATGATGTTTTAAGAGCTTTTTTAAGCGCTTATTTTAATGGTTTTAAGTACTATAAGTCCCGAGCCCTGGTTATTACAAATACTTGTGCCAAATCATGTCACAACAAACTCCCTTAATCAGTGCAATATAAAACATATTTTTCCTTTCTATATTAATTATTTTAACAAAATATGTGCATAATATGAACTTCTTAAAATAAATATTTTTTTAGAGACTTTATTTTCAATGTATAATTATTAAAAGTAATATGAATTATCATGACAAAGTATATTATAATTAAACATTTATATTTTCATTTAAGTGTTGACAATACGGTTTACTCTACTTCCAACTCTGATACCAGTGATGAATCAGATTATGAAATGATTTTACCATCAATCATCACCATAAGTGATTATTCATCACTCTACACAGATTTCTGCCCTGATATAAGGATTACTGCATGTACTGCACGTCTTAATTCAGAAGCTGATACTAAACTGGTATCACATAAGAAAAAAAATATTTCTCAAATGGGACGTAAAAAAGCAAATCGTGCACAAAATGGTAAACTTATTATTTGTATTTGCTTAGTAAAAAATATCACAAATTACTGTCTAGATTTTACAAAAAAAAAAAAAAAATACGTAAGTAATTAATGGATAAATATACTGTAAATATCTATGTATAGATAAAATATATAAAAAAATTTTTATTTAATGCATTCTATTTTAATTTTAATTTTCTATTATAAAAATGATGCCCTTATAAAAACATTAGAATTAAAACACGCCTGTCAGTGGTCAAAAAAAACCTGTTGAGTTTGCATTCTCTCCCTACTTTGAATACTTAACTCTTGCACATCTCCAACAAGTGACCTTTTCTAACAAAATACCTATTTATTTTTAATTTCAGTTAATTATTATTTTTATTAAAAAATGTTTCACAAGTTTTTTTTTTTTTTTAACTAAATATTTAATTTAGTAAAAGTTTCTCTTAGATATAATTTTAAAAAAAAATGTTTGAAATTTTGATATTATGATTTACTTAAAATATAGACATCATGTATTTTAATATATTTTTTTCAGAAAATTTTCTTCTATCTTTGAGTGATGAACTTGAAGATGATATATTTTGTAATGACAACAAAAATGGATTCACCAAAGCAATCAACAGGCTTTCAACTCAGCCTGATGTACGTATCATAATATGATCCCATGCTGCTCCAATTTAAATTACGATGAAAAATAATTTAAAATTATAAAGTGTTTATATTTAATTAAATAACTAAGTCATAGCAGCATCTTATAAGTTAGTTTTAAATGTATCCACAAAAAACTTGAATAATTTCTTTTTTTTTATTTTATTAAAAATTATTGAATTAAAAACCAATATCCCTCTTTACAATTTTTATAATTAAAGTCAAATAGTCAAATATTTATAAAAGGAAAAATGCGTAATATCTCTTTTAAATAACAACAAAAAAAAACAATACACATTTTATTTATTTTCATAAAATTTAACCTAATACTGATAAGTTTTTTTTTTCTATACATACCAAGTAATTTTTTTAAATCAAAATCATTTTAAGTGTTTTTTGTGGTCCTTTTCACATATAACAAATCTATCTGAAATTATTTTAAAAGTTGAAAATATAATGTAGGTACAGTGCATTTTGCTTTAAAGAAACATGAAATATTTAGTTCTAATAAACTTAAATAAAAATAAAAATATTTTTAAAAGAGGATATAAATAGGTATATTAGTACAAATATTGGTTCAATTTTAAAAATATTTATCTTTTTCATATGTGCGTGTATAGTAAAACTTATTATTTGTTAATAAAAACATTATTATTACTAAATAAAATTGTTTGATTAACAGCATCAATTTTCTGTTGAAAGATAAACTTGAGTATAAAAAAAAATAATAAAATATAACAAAATAAAACATTTTAAAAATATTCCATACATGTTTAAACTTTAATGTGCTGTAAATTAATGTTTTCAAATGAAAAAAAGTTAATTCATTAATAATTTTAACTCAGAACATTATAATAATATATGTTAAATATTATTATTTATATTTTGAAAAAAACCTAATGAATAAACAATTTTCATGAATTGACCCAGAATATGTACTTTAGTATCATTCATCTTCCTAAAAAAAAATTCAATTTTAATCTATTTAAGTAAAATACACTAGATATAGTTTTCTATAATTCAAACATACAATATAAATTAACTATTTATAATATGTCTTAATAAATTATATTATTATTAATTTGACCTTATATATTTATTATAGTTGAAAGAATCATTTATTGAAGGAAATGATGAACTTGTACTAAAAAAATGCACCAAAGGTTCTACTGCTGAAATGAATGCTGAAAAAAAATCAAAACGAAGCATTCGCCCGGATTTAGCATTTAAAAATCTGACTACATCACAAAAATCCCTCTTTAAACAAAAAAGCTTACCTTTTGTAAGTCGACTTTAATTTTTATTCATTAGATTATTGATAAATCATAATCATAACTTATGAGTTAAGATTAACATAATTTAATTACTTAATGGAAATATAAAATATTTACTAACATTTTTAATCTTAATATTTTTTCTCTTAGATATATTTTGTTTTTTATTTTTAAAGTCTAATCATTAAAGTAGTACCAATTATAAATTATGAATTTTTATCTTTACTATATATTACGTTAATTATTTTACAATTTCATAATATGTATTAATAACATATTCTTAAAAATATAATTAAATACATAAATGTGCATCCAAAACAAAATATTAATAGGCTTATGTTTTATAAACAAATTCATGAAAAGACTCATTATGTTGTTAAAATAAATTTTAATGAAAAAGAGATTACTTCATTGAATACTTGTGACACCATATTTGTAAATATGTCATTGACAAATAATGAATGTTAGATTATTAATTGTTCTTTAGGCTGCCATAGATCATCTGGAAACTGAAGTTGTCCAATATTTTTCACTTGTACCTAAAGGCATTTACACATCAGCTCCATTGCCGAGTTACAATAGAATGCTGCTGCACAGTATTGTTCGTTACTATTCTTTGGATGCTATGAGTAAGTAACAAAAAACTAAGATGTATACTTTTTTTTACTCAATTACCTTAAAAATTGTTTAGGGCTAGAAATATAAAATTAAATACATTTAATTAATACAATTTACTAAAGATTTTGTTTATTTTCAGGCGTGAATAGCCGTGGTCGGCGCGCCCAGAAAATTGTACAAGTACGCAACACTCGTTTTGATGATTTCAAACCACCTTGTATGAGCTTGTTGAAATACATATCAAGTCTTAATAGCAATCACTAAACAACAAATGGCCATCATCATTGGATTTAACGACTCCTTGATAACAGACGTTTTTCGTTCAGCTTAATATATTATAATTATATATTAGATAAGTTTTATATTCTATTATTTTTTTGCATAATTTTTACGTTTGTTTTATTTATTAAGTTTTAATTTATAGCTTTTGATATATTTGAATAACGTGCATATGTTTTATTTGTTTAATTATTGACCAAACTATTATATTATAAACATAATTTATATCTTAATATATTACATTATATTATATGCTTATATTATTTGTAGTGATAGCATCAGCAAGGCTCAGAATTTAATGCATTTGCATATTTCTTAAGATGCAACATATTAAAAAACAGATAACTACTAAAATGTATTTACATATTATATCTTTGTTTTTACAAAGTTCCATTCCCTGGCTATTAACAAATATTATATACTCTATATATTAATATATTTATTGGATAAAACATAATATTATATTATAAAAATATATTTAATCAATTATATTATTATTTACATTACAATTTTAATATATTTACAATATGAAATAATTAATATTTTATATCAGGGGTCAGCAACCTACGATATGTGATTACAATTTATAATTGGTATAAAAATATGGAATATTACATTATGTTAATTGATAACCTAAATTTGTTAATATATACCACGTTAAATTAATGTAGGTACCAAACAGTGATGAAACTTAAATAAATTAAATTAAACTTTGTTTCAAATTTATACTGTAAAATGTAAATAAAAAAGCTGTATGGCCCATGAAAATTTTTTTTATTATTTGGCCCTTGACAACAAAAAGGTTGCCGTCCCCTGTTTTATATGATAATCACGACTTAAAGTTATCGCATTTACTTTTTTTTTTTTAACACAATTTTCTAAGTATGCTACAAATCCATTTTATGAAGATATAATCTTGTTTATATATATATATTTTTTTTTCATGAAACTTTTGCAATTTTATCCTTTTTGATTATACCGCATTATTGTTATGCTTTCCAAATGTTTTTTTCGATTTTAGTGATATTTATAAATTAATTATTTGTCTACTTATATGAAAATAGTAATAAAAAAAGAAATAATGAAATCTTATAACAAAAAATACTTCTGTTCTATATTTATGTGTATTATTCATATTTCTACATTACAACTCTGTGATTGTACTGTAATGAATAAGAAATACAACAACGAATATTTCCTATATCCACCCAGTTCTGTAAATGTTTTTGAGAAGTCATAATCTCATTAAAAGATGATTCATCCTAACACTTCAATGCCATTAAGTATTAGTCTAAATATTAACTTTTATACCATAGTTATTACAATACGTTGGTTTTGGTTGTATTCAATTTGTATTGATCAATTATCATATTTTTTAACAATAATCTAATAAATTATATAAATTTTCTTGATGTAATAACTTTAAGCTCTAATGATAAAAGTATAACACTGTGATGTAAAGTAGTTAATTTAATATAATTTATATTGGAAAGTTATGATTAAGATATAGGATTAATATAGAATAGTTTATTTATTAAATTTGTTATAATTTAAACATGAAAATACATACTGGTGTGATGAATTTAAATTACTTTTGTCATTATAATACATTTAAGAAAACACCACATCCTCATACATTGTTCATATCTTACAAATCGTAGTCGGTAATTTAATGACATTTTGGTAAGGAAGAGCTAACAACTTAATACCTAAACACAAAGTTTTCTTTGTTTTAATTGAAAAAAAACTATTAAAATTGTTTTGTAAAGGTACAAAAAAAAGTATAAAAAAGTGTTTATAAAATTTTCAATTTATATCCTAGACTTAAAAATTGAATAATCTTAATTATGATAAGATATTTTTTATAGAAATTTAAAAAAACATGTATACAAACATTATGTATTTATGAACATTTGAAAATTAAATTGGATACTTCTACAAAAAGATAACAATTTTTATCAAGTGATTAGAGTATATTTGTTGTAATTCAAAAGATATTAATCTTCATACAACTCATAATTTAAAAGTCGATCATAGTTCTGATAAGTTTTTTATTGGCGATTTAACTTAAGATTTTGACGACATTGAATATTTTTTCGTCATTCAATAAAGATTTACATATTTTCCAACAATACTTGTTATTATACAAAAAATTAATTGTAAAAAATTAAAATATTAAATTATTACCTACATATATTATAATTTTCTATTCACGATGAAATCTCCTTAATATCTTCTCATGATAATTTCGATTTATTTATACTTAGTAGGTAGTAGGTACATAAACCTTTCGAATGCGCTTAATGTTTTTCCGAGTGGCACTGATCGCCAAATCTATCCTTGACAAATGTCATAATAGATTTTTTAGAGGGAGCACCTTGGAGTGCCAGAACTCGAATGTGGATGTTAAATTTAATCCATAAAGATAAATATTATTTACAATTTATTAATAAAGAGTCTAAAAATAAATTAATAAATAATTATTATATGGCCCCAGTGATAGCTAATAATTTAAATTGAGAGGATGGAAACGGCCTCTTAAGATTTACAATGTCATAATATTTTTTAAACATTTTGGTGTCAAGCTTAAAAATGAGACAAAATTTCATCATAAATGGTTTTTGCAAAATTAAAAAAATTAAAATACTAAAAAATATGTATAACAATTATTTCTTTGTTCGTTTTAAGGGGGCTTAAAAGACTAGGGTCATTTTAATTTTATTAAATATTTTTCGGTTTGATAAAAACCTACCTTCTTAAATACTTAGTTTAATTTGTTTAATCAACTCACTACTCCATATTATGTTCGTGTAGTTTTAATTAATTATTTTATTTAGGTGTTATATGTGTAGGTATTAAGAGAATTACCTAACATATGAATTAATGTAAGTCGTAAAGAAAATATATTAATGTTTCTATTATATTATTTTTATTATTTTATTTTAAGAATATACTTTTTTATTTGAGATTAAATATTTGATTTTATTTAATAATTACACAGTTTAAAATCTAAAAAATAGGTACTTAAATAATATAGACAACAAATTAATGCCAAAAATAGAAAATTTACATTTATTTCAAAACGTACTTTTGTGAGGATTTCATGCATGCATGTGTTATGTCCCCCTCTTACTAATACATAACATGCCAAAATGTAAGTAAATTCGAAAGTTCCAATTTTATATAGTTAGCTTAACATTTTAATACTTGAGTGTAACTTATGAGTATATTTTCATATTAACCTATTATCAAATTTTAATATAAGAACATTATCTAACATCTATGTTCTTTCGTTGGTTTTTTACGATATTTGAATACTTAAACAAGTTATAGGTAATAATGTAAAATATTAATATTTTACCTAACCACTGAGTAAACAGAAATAATGTGCTTACCTTTATATTTGCTAATAAATTATTACACTCTAATATTTAATGTTACGACACAAAAGTGAAACTGCTTAATATAAAGATTGGTATGTTATGAATTATGATGTTTTTATTGTTGAAATGATGGAGGTAGCGCGTGCAGGTACAAAGTCCTCTTAATTTAGAGATTAGAAGAATTATTTTAAGAAAATATTAACGGACAGAAAACATGAACGGGCCCTCCCACAACATTGGTTGCAACGACGATAAAATTAAGCAAATAATAAGGAATTAAACAAATATTTCCTGTTGCCATAATTTTTTTACTTAAAGCCCTACTTTTATCTACAGCACAACATAATAGTTCTGCTAAATGCAAATTTTTCATGTAGTAAATTTGCAAGATGGAGCAACACATACAAATATTTCATCTTTTTAAAAAAGCTTAGAAAGCTATAAATCCATTTTATACGACGATGAAGTTAACAATAAAATTTTTTAATTCATAGTTTATTCTTAATATTAGCTAAAACATTTATTTTTTTTATTATTTATATTTTTTTACTTATTTATTTAAAGAACAGATATTTTATTTTTTTAATATTTGTGCAAAATAGTAAACAGCCTAAAATTTTTGCAATAAAAGTTCAGTCAGTAATAAATCTTTGATAATGTTATATTTTTGTCATAGCTTACTATAACGACAAAATACTATTTTTATTGTTCAACCAATTTTAAGGTTTCCGTGCATTAAGGTTAGTGACAAAAGCCCCCCTGGTACGTTTCTAACCTTTCCTTACTCAATTACTAGAAAATAACAACTAACACTGAACTAGCCAAAACAATGTACAAACGTTTCCACCAAAATTTAAACATACATAGCAATACTCTAATAACACATATGTCCTCCTTCACCCTCCCAAAAAATCCACCATGCAGACTAAAGCACAAATGGTTTAGAGACTTATTAAATTAGTAAAGGAGGTGTTATCATTAGGTTTCTTCCCCAACACGATATTCATATTACTTTATTTTATATAAATACATCAAATTTGATTATTATAATTATCGTCTACAGATTATAAATTGTTCTTCTAAATAAAAAATAAAAAATAAATTTTTCAACACGTTTCATAATTACCATAACTAATAAGTTTTATAAAAAATAATATTTTTTAATATCCTACTGTATATTATCTGTCTATCTACACTATTAAGCTTCGTACCCTACTAACAAATAATTTATTATTTTAATTTTTTTTTTTTAATTTTTAATTTTGAATAATAATAACTATTTTTAAACTATTACTATTTTACATATATTAGATTTTATAAATTCCTATTGTAAAAATTTTATTTTAATTTTTTTTTTTAAATATTTTTACATAACTCCTTAGATATTTAAGTATTATACTACTATACCTATAATGGTTTTGAATAAGAAGTTCCTATCAGTAACATTTATTAAAAGTGCAGTAGATACTAAATGCGTATATATATATATATTACACCCCTGTTGTTATATAATAATAACAACAGTGTACACATTAATAAATTTGTAAAATCTTGTTACTGTACTGTAATAATTCTTTCAGCGTCTTCGAATGAACTAACAAATATAATATCACAATTAAAAAAGTAGGAATAATATTATCCCAATTAATTTTGTTTTTATACCATTATGAACATAATATATATCATTTCATCGTAAGTAGATATTGAACTTAATTTTCCTATTTAATTATTTTT